ATAAAGAAGAGCTGAATTTTCATGTGTTAGATATACTCATTAGGTAAAATTTTTGAAAAGTTTCTTTATAAAGATTTATTTTTATTTGAGAGAGTGTGTGCACAAGTGAGTGTGAGTGGGGGCAGAGGGAGAGAAAGAATCTCAAGCAGACTCCCCACTGAGTGCAGAGTTGGATGCAGGGAATTGATATCATGGCCTTGACCCGAGCCAAAATCAAGAGTTGGGCACTTAACCCCCTGAGCCACCCAGGCACCCTGAAAAGGTTCTTTTTAGAGACACGTTTTCTCTTTGCTATTTTTCTGGGATCTTCAAGTGGTAAAAACGAAGTCTGAGTTCTTATTTTGATATTTTGAATGAATACATGATTAGCTAAATGACTATATGAGAGGCAGCACTTGTGATATAGTAATGGGTAGGAGACCCTGCTTCTGGCTGGACAAGTAAGTAGGTGCTTTGCCTGGGAAAACCTTTCTCTCCCTGAAGTTTTATTTACTCTAGAAATAGTGAAAGAAGTGAATTAAGACACAAAACTTGAAGTAATAAGGTTATGGGCAATGATAACGTTGTTGTGTATATCCTATAAAACTTGAGATGACTGTGATTGAGTTAATGAAATTATGCTTATAAAGTCCTTTGGCCCTGCAGGTTTTCTGGCATCCCTATAGACATCGTTAGAAATAATTAATGATGTTAATTACATTGGTGTTATTTAATAGGTAGTTTTTTTGTTTTTAAAATATTGAATGTGAAGAAAAGTTCCTATAAGTTTTCTGTAGTGACATATTCCCAGATGATAAAACCAGGAAAGTTTATGTATTCAGAGCCATAAGTCTTCACTGTGCTCGTTGGCTTTCCCCTTGATTTGTTTATTTGTTTTTTCATTCAACTCATATTTATAAGCACTGATATTTGCCAGACTTACACTAACACCCTTCCTCTCCTCAAGCAGCTAGGTCTGGCTAATGAGGGGCTTTCACATGGTATTTATTAGGCACAGTGAGTACTAATCTCACCCATCCTTTTCCACTTAGGCAGACAACACTGAAATCATCATCAGTTCCAACAAGGACATGTTCTCGAATTTTTAGCGTCCAAAGCAGGTCCAGCCCTGCTTTACAGAAGGCACAAGGGCCCCTGACTGTCCATATGAGTAGTTTGCATGAACAAGGTCCCCAAAGACGCACACATATTTTGTAGTGAATCTTTGGGGAGTGCGTGCTTAGAGTTGGATTGAATTGACTAACCTTGCAGGCATAGAAAACTTTCACAGACAAGGGGCTTCCACAACTCTGTCACTACCTATTACAACAGAGAGTCACTCTCTACTTTCTGGGATTCTTGCTTACCTGGAACATGAAAACCCACCCAGCTCTGGCGTGCTTCTTTTTCCTACTGTTTATCAACAGGGAGGCAGAATGGCTGGTCACTGTTTTTTTATGACAAGGTAATGCCAGTTGCTTTCTTTTGTTTTTTGGAATAATAACAAAAATATTTATATAGTGCCTTGCTTTGTGCCAGACACTGTTTTAAGCCTGTTAAATAGATTACTTCAATTCTCACAGTTCTAGGAGGTAAGTGCTATTATTGTTTCTCATTTTGCAAGTGAGGACACACAGCACACAGAGGCTAGGTAACTTGACAAAAGTTGTATCTTTAGTAAATGGCAGAGCCAGGGATTTTTGGCTTCCAGGCAGATTTTCCAAAATCCATACCTGGACACTTACATATAATTCATGAACAAATATGAACCTGGTTGCTTAGGCTTAGCATTGGTATTATAAAGATGAAAAAGAAAGGTTTAAAAACTTCTTGCCCTTAAAAAATTTAAAAATTTTTAGAGAAAGACCAACTTTTAAGTGACAGAACAATAGTGGATGAGTAGCTTAGACAAAGAGCGGAATGGCTGTGCCTGAAGGAGTTGGAAATATGAACAAAATAGAATCAATTGGTACTGGGAGTCTTTCTTACTTTGGATGTCACATTTTATCATCTTCCCAGGAGGTTATGTAGGAGTATGAATTAATGCGATATCTAAGAGTCTAGAGACATCTTATTTTCTTCCCTAGATTTATTTTTTAATTAATTTACAACATGATCCAGGATAAGTCTGAGATGCTTATTCTCTAACCAGTAAAATGGGTTCTTTGGTCCCTGTTGTGTTTAGAGGAGGCTGTTTGCCGCAGGTGCTGTTTGACATTATTTGACAGGTAGTGGCTAAGTACAAGGCAGCCAAACTATGTCACGGGTAGCAGGTGCCGTGGGTGGTCTAACTCAAAGCATTTTGGAGACCAGACGAGAGTCCTATTTTTGGCCCTAGATCTGCCTTGCAATCCCTGCTGATCATCATCCTTTCCTCCCCTGCCCTGGCTTCAATAGTTTTCTCATCTGTAAAATGAGAAGCATGTAGTAAATAATCTCAAAGGTCTCTTCTTCTGGGGCTAAAGCTCCATGGTGGAGGATTATTAGCTTTGATCTCAGGAATAACCTGTGATGGAGTCAGGTCAAAACCCTGGAGTTTTAGTTTCAGGTTCCATGTTTAGTTTATTCAAAATCTTATGGGTTTTGGGTTGTAAGAGCTACAAAACAGGGGATATTGGATTGCCACCGAATGTAATGAGTAAGGTGAGTGAAATGGGTTGGCCAGCCTGGAGATAAATAAAAGTGGCTGCAGAATTTGGAGTTAGCAGGGAGAGCTTTGCAGGAGATTCACAAAGGCCTGACAAGCCTGCAGATGACATATCACTGTGATAATTTTAGAACCAAGAAGGGTTGGAAATTATAGTTTATCCTCAACTTTCCAGAAGTTTGAAATACCCCTGTAATGTGATATATATAGCTGGTCCTAAGTTTCTCTTAGAGTAACATTTTGAGGCTTTAGAAGTTTTTAGTGCTCACTTCCCAGACAAGAGTGTGTGCCACTGACCAGTGGATCTCTGGGGCTTCATCCAGGTTCTCGGGGAGGAGCCAGGCCATAGTTCTGTTTTGGGCTCTCCTTGCTTTGGAGAGTTGTCACCACCAAGGGAGGAAGCAGAAGTGGCTGATGGAAGGAGCCCTTTACTCACTCATGAGACCGTGAGCCTGTGTCTTTTAAACCTACTTGACATTTCTAAGCCAAGATTGTGTTTCTATCAGATGAAGATAGTAGTACTGACTACCCTCCAGTTAGTTTATCTCCAAAGGTTATCAGGACTGCCCCCGTCAGCTTACCATCATCAGACTTTCCTTCCTCTGAGTTGTGCTCCGACATGCTGCCAGACTGCTCTGTCTACAACACGGATAAACTCCTTTTCTAACTTTCCTTTGCAGAGAAGGCAAAGCATGGCTTCTTTGATCCTTGGAGGCCAGCCCTTGCTTGCTGGCCTCATCTCTCACACTTTCCAAAATGCATCCTGACCAGGCCCATTGTTCTTTCACAGAGGGCACTGTACTACCTGGCACAGCTCTTCCTTTGCCCAGCACGCTTCACTGCCAGACCGTTCCTGTCTGCCCTTCAAGCCCCAGTTCACATGCCAGCTCCCCCAAGAAACTTTTTGAAACCCTCCCCCCACATTTTCCTACAGGCTGTGTACTCCTCTGGCCTATTGTGGCATCGTTATTCTAGAACGTTCCATCATCACACTGTCCTGCTGTCTTGTACCTAAGGCCTATACTCTAGCTTCCCTCACTAATGGGGTGAGGGGGCTTATGCCCCAGTGGGAACCATGAGTGGTTTTGTTTTCTTTATATTCCATCTCTGACATACCAGTGCTTTCCCTGCCACCCCTTTTGTTCTTTTTGTCATTGTCTTGGTCACTCTTTGAGGAATGTATTGGCAAAGAATGGGTTGCAGAAAGTGCCCCCCAGGAGAGACTGGATCTGCAGAATCTTTTTCAGTCTTCCTTCCTCTTTTTAAAACGATTTATTTATTTATTTATTTATTTATTTATTTATTTATTTATTTATTTATTTATTTATGACACAGAAAGAGAGGCAGAGACACAAGCAGAGGGAGGAGAAGCAGGCTCCCTGCAAGAAGCCCGATGTGGGACTCCATCCTGGAATCTGGGATCAGGCCCTGAGCTGGAGCCAGACACTCAACCGCTGAGCCACCCAGGCATCCCCTTCCCCCCCTCTTTCTTGGTGGTTGTTTAGCCACCAACATCCAAATGAGTTGAATTGCCAACAGTAAAAATGGATGCATCTAGAGGATGCTGCATGGCTAAATAGGATGCAGGTATTATGCCCTGAAACCCTCCCACGCTTCTGTTATTTTTGATCTAAATGCTTAACTAACATCTTACGCATGTACTTGCTTGGGTACCGAAATGCAAACTCATGTGAACAAAGTCAGAACCGTCTCTTCCTCTTAGCCAGCACCTGGTTTTGTTAACAGTTACCACTTCTGTCAGCCATTCCTACAACTGTAATATCACCTCTGATGGTTGTAGTACATTCGGAAAAAAAGTTGTGTGTAGGGCAGCCTGGGTGGCTCAGCGATTTAGTGCCGCCTTTGGCCCAGGGCATGATCCTGGAGACCCGGGATCGAGTCCCACGTCCGGCTCCCTGCATGGAGCCTGCTTCTCCTTCTGCCTGTGTCTCTGCCTCTTTCTCTCTGTGTGTCTCTCATGAATAAATAAATAAAATCTTTAAAAAAAAATTGTTGTGTGACCTTAGTATCAGCATCCCATGAGTATATGTGGAGACCCATGAGGTATAGAACAAGGAAGATAACCTCTTCCTGGGGGAGAAAGATAAGAAAGATAGGAAGGTGGAGTTTGTTAGCAACACTGAACAAACAACACAGGTTGCCTCCTTTACTTGACCTTTCCTGTCTCTAATGTGGGGTGGTGGTTTTTCCAAAATCTGTCTTGTCCCCTAGCCCCCAAATAATAGTTTCAGGAAGTGGTTTGTCTTTTGTTTGGCCTTGAAGTTTAAAAGATTACATGTAAAAGTTTCATGCAGTCTCTAATAGTACTGTTCAATAGAAATATGGCATGAGACCCACTTATGTCCCTTGCTGCTGTGGACTGTGGGCTGCTGGGGTCGGTGAAGGATCTCAAGATGGCTGGGCGAAAACTTGCTCTAAAAACCATTGACTGGGTAGCTTTTGGGGAGATCATACCCCGAAACCAGAAGGCCATTGCCAACTCCCTGAAATCCTGGAATGAGATGCTTACCTCCAGGTTGGCTACTCTTCCTGAGAAACCACCTGCTATCGACTGGGCTTACTACAAGGCCAATGTGGCAAAGGCTGGCTTGGTAGATGACTTTGAGAAGTTTAATGCCTGGAAGGTTCCTGTGCCAGAGGATAAATACACTGTCCAGGTGGATGCTGAGGAAAAAGAAGATGTGAAAAGCTGTGCTGAGTTTTTGTCCCTCTCAAAGGCCAGGATTGAAGAATATGAAAAAGAGCTGGAGAAGATGAAGAACATAATTCCATTTGATCAGATGACCATTGAGGACCTGAATGAAGTCTTCCCAGAAACCAAATTAGACAAGAAGTACCCCTATTTCTCACAAGCCAATTGAAAATTTATAAACTTGAGGAGAAAGCACGGGCCCTCATATTATAAACGTTGGACATTAAAAATAATGATATGGTAAAAAAAATATGGCATGAGTACCTAGGTAACTTAAAATTTTTTGGTAGCCAAATTAGAATAAAAAGAAATAAGTGTAATTAATTTTAATAATGTAATTTTAACCCATTATGGCCAGAATATTATTTCAGCATTTAATCCTTATGGAAATATCAAGGCATTGTATATTCTTTTACTCCTACTAAATTTTTGAAATTTTATGCCTATAGCATTTCTGAATTCAGAATAGCCACATATGACGACTGGCTACTGTTTTGAAGAGTGCTGGCCAAATACTTCTGTATTCTGTAGCTTATACACCTTAAACCAGAAAATTGTCATTTGAGGGGGGTGCGTCATTGGATGGGGGTACCATATTTGTGACTTTGTGGGAGAAAAATGCATGATTTAAGTGTAAAGCTGGGCTTTCTTCATAAAGATGATCCTTGAACTACTTATTGGTAAAGTATATTAAATACTAGCTAATGACATTAATCTATGTCCCAGCATTCAAACCTGGTTCTTCAGAAAGATTTAGTATTTTGGGGTATGATTTTTAATACTCTTGAGACTGAAAATGAGTTTGTTTCATGGAAGGACTCTGCCTTTTCTTTCTCCCTTGGTGAGATCAGGAAGGCTGGGCAGTTCAGCACCCAGAGAGAGAGAGAGTAGAGAGCCCTAGACTTCTGTTTTCCCTGGAGAGGTGGTGGCTGAAACATTGCAGTGTGGAGCGGTGCTCTGCCGTTTTCATACAAAGGGAAGTGGAGACCCTGGGAAGCATTTTCTATTCTACAACTTTGACATTCCATCATGCTTATTGCAGGTGGGCTATGGGAAGGGTACTGGGCTTGGAGCCAGGAGATCCAAGGGTCACCATCTGTGTGACCTTCACTAATTTATGTAACCCCTCTGAGCTTCAATTTCCTCATCCGTGAAATGCTGATGATACATACGGATTTGGGAGGAGGTTTAGTGAGATAATGTGTGTAGGATGTTATGTGTATGTTGTGGACACTAAAATTTTCTTGTGTCCAAATGACACAACTTTGTATGATCCCCATGACCACCATTTCATTCCTGCTCTGAACAGGCAGTGTATATTGAAACTTTTCAGTAAGCCTGAGATGATGATAGAGAACTTGTTAACTTGTTACTTTTCCCATTTCCTGATGTAGACTGGGGGGGGGGGGTTAGTAATTTGCCCCAAGGCCGCATTAGCCAAAAGGCAATTGGAGCTAGGATTTCTTGAAAATACTTTTTAAATATGAAATTCTCAAACATACACGAAAGTAAACTAGTAGAGGGTTTCTCAAAAAGGTTGAGCATCAGAATCACCTGGCTTTGTTAAAACCTAGATTGTGAGGCTCCACCCCTAAAACATTCAGTAGGTCTGGGATGAATCTGCATTTCTAACAAGTTCCAGATGATGCTGAAGCTGCTGGTCTGGGACTACACCTTGAGAACTATTGGACTGGTACAATGAACTCCCATGTGCCTGTCAGCACCTCCAACAATAGTAAACATTTTTGGGACCAAGATTTTAATCCTAACTCCCCACACCTGCCTTTAGCTGGTCCCCAAACAGCCTTTCTGATGATGAAGTATGCAGAAACTCTTCCAAGAATCAAATGTGTGTTATGACTTCCATCCCCTGCTTCCATCTTCAAATAAGTAGCGTAAAGTTGTTTTGAAATCTGACTGTATTGGGCCTTTTAGAGCCTTTTAGCTTAATTACTTGACCTCTTCATTTCAGAGTTCCAAAAATAGCTTTTGTTGACATAGGAGGAATTGAGAATTTCAAGCAAAATGCTAGAAAGAAAAATTGTTGGCTGGAAAAGAATCTGTAGCACAGATTTAAGATAGATTTATACAGTTTCCGTAGTGTGTCTTTTTCTTTTTTGCTCTCATTATTGCTTTTTCCTTATGCAAAAATGGCAGGCAGAATTAGAAGCTAGGACGGATGCATGTGTGAGAGACACATGCTGAGCCCGCTCTCCAGGCTTTCAGTCTGTTCTCTCTCTCTCCTCTGTATATCCTTCTTTTCCTCTCTTAGCCCCTGCTCCATGTCAGGGTAGAAGATCTTCAGGCATGGTCTTTGCAAGGACCAGATCCCCATGCCACTCAACTCTCATCTCATGTGCCTGCATAGGGCATGGAGGAGTCCCTACATCCCTGTCTGGTCTTTTCTCATTAACATTCTCTGCACATCCCGTCGAGCGCAGCTGACTAAATGCAAGCAGCTTTGTGGGTTTTCATTAATTGGTATGATCTTTATTACTGCAGTTTGCATCTTACGTGTCTCTTATACCATTTTCTACAAGTTCTTGATTTGACAGTTTTCATAGAGTCTTTAATTCTGTTTATTTTAGTAATAGGATAATAATTTTTGGAAAACCACAGTCATTTATAAAACTGACAAATACAAAACCCAGATTCTTTTCCTTCTATCAAACTGATGTTGAGTGTCCAAGTTTTGCTAATGCCTAATTAAATAAAATTGCCTAATTTTATGCCTAATTAAAATTTTCATTTAGTGACAAGTCTTCTCATTTAAGTGCTTTTTTTTGTAGTGCTTTATAAAAACGGAATTAAACATCTTTTCAGTGTTTATAATATAAAGAACTGTGTTCACAAGTGTGTCATTCTTGCTGTTAGCCTGCTCTGAGGGTAGCACCACATTTCAGGGTGAGAAATCTGTTTAGATGTCTGAGACTTTGGTGTCCGGTATGTATTCTAAACATTTACCAGTTAGTTAACCATAGGGGAATGCTCAGGTTTGAGCTTGCTTCCTCAGTCCAAGTTTAGATAAGGTCCTCTTTTCCTCCAGTTTATTGTATTGTGTGTTTGTGCACAGTGTTACTGAAAGTGCAAAAATCAAAACGTAGAGGCAGAGGTAAAGAGCATGGACAGGGGTCAGGAGATCTGGGATCTAGGCCCAGGCTTGCTAGCAACTCCTCTTGGGCGTTGGGACAGTCATGTAACTCCCACGCTCCCAGGTTTTCCTCTCTGTAAGATGAGAGGGCGAGACCAGATAATCTCGGGTTCTGATGTTTACACAGCATAGTTCTAGTGTTACCTGACCTCCTGCTCCTTTTAAACAAGCATGCTTCTCAACTGCTGCTAAGGCCATTGTTCCCCGACACACTGATGAACAATCTGGAGAAGAACATGTTTTCCTGAAGGGGATGTGATCATATTTTGATTATCGTGATCTCCTAAATTTAATGTTCTGGGTCAAGGGAAGAAAGAGCATACCATAGGGTATCTGGGTGGCTCTGTTGGTTAAGCATCTGCCTTTGTCTCGGGTCATGATCTCAGGGTCCTGGTATTGCGCCCCATATCGGGCTCTGTGCTCATCGGGGAGCCTGCTTTTTCCTCTCACTCTGCCTGCAGCTCCCCTGCTTGTGTTCTCTCTCTGTCAAATAAAGAAATAAAAATATTTAAAAAATAAAATAAGAGCATGTCTATGACAAGGCAATGGGAGGTCGCTTTCCAGGGTGAGGATGGTACAGGACCTAGTTCTGTGCTGCTCAGCCCCTTTCATCCTATGCCAGTTTCCTTCCTAAAGGCCCGTCACAGCGTGGCACACTTGCCACTCTGGCCTTCTTTACCAGAGCAGGCTGTAGTCCAGGGGTGGCTTAGAGACATGTGGACACCCCAGGCAAGCCAGTCATTGGTACCACCTCAAACAGATGCCATTCAAATTGTTTACTGCTTTATTTTATTTATTTACTGATTGATTGTAGACTCTGTGCCCAGCATGGAGCCCATCATGGGGCTTGAACTCACAACTCCAAGACCAAGACCTGAGCTGAGAGCAAGAGTCAGACGCCCAACCAATTGAGCCCCCCAGGCACCCCAGTTGTTTATTATTTTAGATAAGAGACTGAGGACTGCGTGGGGCAGAGATAGGGCAGGGACTGTGGCGCATAGCCATTCCTAGCCAACTCTAGTGCTGCCCACCTGTCCAGAGAAAGCAGGGCCCTACAGGTAAGCATTCTTTGTTTCTCCAGCATGTCCTTTGCAAAGCCCCAGTGCTCATCTGTGATAGCTTATTCATGCGTTCTTGGCAGCCACAGAGTACCCTTTCAGAAGGGAGTTCTCATAAATGTCGTTTTCTTTCTCACATTGGATTTCCAGAGATGCTGTAGCACCCCTAGAGACTGGTGCCCCAAGCTCTTGGCCTGCTGCCACCCCATCCCCTTGCCATAGCTTTGCCTCAGCTATCCTGAGCAACTCATCATGTCTGGAACTCACAGTGCTCAGAGGAGGATTTATCCTGAAGCTAAGGAAGCTTCAGTTTCCGGATCCCTTCCAAGGCCCTGTGAGGGCCTCCAGCAATTTTATATTCATAATTTTGTATTTTTTTAAACCCCTTCCCTTTCCAAATATGCATTTTTAGGCCCCACAAAATCTGGTTCCATCTGGGAGCATGCTCCTTGGTGTCTCCCCATTTTCTCTGCAAGGAATCCCCAGTGCACCCTGAATGCTGGCTGATTGGTTCCTTGGTTCCTCTCCTAGGCTTGGCCCTGACCACCTCCTTTAAGAAGCAGCCCACATTGCCAGGTTCTGTTACTCATCCAGCACGTGTTCATTGGGTGCTTACACTATGCTAAGTCTTGTTCTAGGTGTTAAGAGAACAGTAAATAAAATGGAAATCCTTGCCTCTATGGAGTTGGTGATCTAACTGGGGGGGAAGCAGGTTCATGCTAGGCAGGGTCAGATGCCACTTGTAGGTTCCAACTGCTGTCATTCTGCTCTCATTGTTCACATGTCTGCCTTCCCTCTGGATTATGAGCTCTCTGGGTTGCGGGGGTGGGGAGTGGGAGAGGCTGTGTCCTGTTATCTTGGGGTCCGGAAGACCCTGGTGCAGTGCATATGGGAATGGACAGGCTCAGTAAAAGTTTGTAGAAAGAAGGAACACATTATTACTAATAACATTTGCATACA